TTGCCATTTCAAGATTTTTTCACACGTATAATTTAAGGCCATTAATTACACTCATTATGTTGTGCAACCATCACCACTATCCGTTTCCAAATTTTTCTGTCATCCTTAACAGAAGCTCAGTGCCGCCTAAGCAATGACTCTCTTTCCCCTTCACCCTCTCCTCTGGTCTTAGCTGTCCTTGAGTGATACTTGCTGGGGTTGGAGCGAATGTGGCCTCTTAACATCAAAGGTCTACTGAATACCTACTGTGTGTGCAAGGCTCGACTGTGGGGGACTGAGATAACTGAGGAGTCCCTGTCCTCTAGATAGTAAGTCTAATAGGAGAAAGAAGATACATATACACATTTAACAACTACCTGGCTTGGTGAATTTCCTTCTTGGTGATTAACGTGATTTCCACTGAATCGCCAAGCTGCATGTCTGTTATTTTAGAGGCCATGGAAATGGCAGCTATTCTGAAATATAAAAAATAAAGGGAGATGGTGAGGACATGGAGAAATTGGAACCCTCATCTGCGGCTGGTGGGACTGTAAAGTGGTACAGTCCTTGTAGAAAACAGTTTAGAGTTCCTCAAAAAGTTAAAAACAGAATCACCATATGATCCCAGCAATTCCACTCCAGGGTATATATCCAAAACAACTGAAAGCAGGAACACAAACACATACTCGTATATCAATGTTCATTGCAGCACTATTCACAGTAGCCAAAACATGAAAACAACCTAAATGTCCATCAGCAGATGAATGGATAAACAAAATGTGACATATACATATAACGATTTTTACTCAGCCATAAAAAGAAATGAAGTCCTGATACATACTACAACATGGATGAACCTTTAAAACACCATGCTGAGTAAAATTAAGTCAGTCACAAAAGGACAAATATTGTATGATTCTGCTTATACGAAGTATCTAGAAAAGGCAAATGTATAGAGACCAATAAATAAGGAAGACTGAAGAAAAATCAAATGCCTTTGAACTATGGGTTGGCAAAGAATATTGAATATACCGTGGACTGCCAAAAGAATGAACAGATCTGTCCTGGAAGAAGTACAGCCAGAATGCTCCTTACAAGAAAGGATAGCGAGACTTCGTTTCTCACATACTTTGGACATGTTATCAGGAGGGACAATTCCCTGGAGGACATCATGCTTGCTAAAGCAGAGGGTCAGCGAAAAAGAGGAAGACCCTCAAGGAGATGGACTGACACAGTGGCTGCAACAAGGGGCTCAAGCATAACAATACTGTGAGCATGGTACAGG